TTTGAGTAAAGTATAAAAACATTACCTCCCTTTGTCCCTCTGTCATAGTCCATTTATAATGTAATTTTCTTAAATAGTTCCTCCACATACACTGAGAACCATAGAGAGTGTTACAGTTTTGCTTCAACTGTCAAGCATAATTTAGACAATTCAAGGGGAGAAGGAACGCCCCAGGTTCACAGTGGGTACTACGATGGCTATGACATAAGCCACTGTCAACTGCTGCCTGTGTATGATGGAGCACACTGGTTTGTGAACCACAACCTCATTCTATGTATGAGGAAACTGAGGTTCAGAGAGGCTAAGCCACTTGTCTGAGGTCACACAGCAATATTGACTGAGTACTTCCTATGTGCCAGGCCCTGTGCTTGCCTCTGATGCTGTGAAAATGAATGAGGCCTGTCTCCCCATCTGCCCAAGAAATAAATTTTCTTCCCTCTTTCAGTCCTTCAAGTAAGAGGGCAAGGAAGTTAACATTTGGGGGTCCCAATATGTGCCAAGCAGTGGGCTGGGGCATTACAAGTGGTACCTCATGTGACTCTGAGATTCCACCATGGCTGAAATGTGCTGGCATCTGCTCATCTTTCAAGCCTGTTTGTGGCTTCCTGCTGCTTGAACCTGCCAGCCTCAGGGTGCCCACGTGAGGAGGAGACCCTAAGTGGCACCCACGCTCACCTCTGCATGACAAGCACACTCAAGAGCGAGGAAAATACATCAGCGAGCACCCTGGAAGGGCTGGTTACTGATACGGTTTGGCTGTGTCCCCACCCAAATCTCGTCTTGAAATTGCAGCTGCCGTAATTCCCACGAGTTATGGGAGGGACCCAGTGGGAGAGAATTGAATCATGGGGAGCAGTTTCCCCCATACGGTTCTCATGGTAGTATAAGTCTCCTGAGATATGATGGTTTTAGAAGAGGAAACCCCTCTCACTCGACTCTTACACTCTCTTGCCTGCTGCCACGTAAGACGTGCCCTCTGCCTTCCACCACGATTGTGAGGCCTCCCCAGCCACATGGAACTGTGAGTCCATTAGATTTCTTTTTCTTTATAAATTACCCAGTCTAGGGTATGTCTTTACCAGCAGCGTGAAAACAGACTAATACACATGCCCACTGCAGGGGTGGGCTTCATGGCTTCTCATCTCTCTCAGCCAGCTGTTTCCATGATGCTTAGAAATTGTCCCAATTAGGAGGAACTGAGCTCAGCAAACTCCAGGAAACTCCTAAACTAATTTGAAGCCTGTGAAGTGAATCCGATGGGATGCCTGTAACTTAGTTGATTAAGGAAGAAAATATCCTTCAGGTCTCCTTGGCCCTAATAGGGTATACACAGATCTTCTCAAATGGGTTATCTTGGAGAGAAAACGTGATTCACAAAAATGATTTCAACACTTGTGGGGAGAACCAGGCACGAAGGAAGATGTGATGAAGTTTGCATAACTGGAGAGGGAGGAGTAGAGCTATTATTGTTCCTAAACATAGATGAGATTTTCCTAAAACTGGTTATAGAATCCCCAAAATGGCTGGCACTCCCCGAGGACTGTCTTTAGGGCCCTGCAAAAGGCAAGTTATTTGAATTCAAAAAGATTTAAGCAGATGCAAGGCCCATGGCTGAAGGATGATAGCAGAAAAGCAGAATGTCATCTGAGTCTCAGCTCAGTGCAATACACATCCTTAGGCCCTTGCAATGCTTGCCTGCAGCAATTCAGTGCTTGTTGATTAGAAGGCTTTCCAGATGGGAGAGGCCCTGGTTTAAGCCCCTTATTTGGAAGGGGGTGATAAAGTTTAGTCTCTCATTAACCACACAACAGAACCAAGTATCTCCTGTAAGTCGAGCCCTTCACTTGTTACTAGGGATGGTGATGTGGTGCCCACAGCTCAATGGGAATGACAGATGGGGGTGATGGTGGGATCGCAGTATTGTCATGGAATCCTTGGGGTGTCACTTTGCCAGCCTCTGTGGAAACTTCTGTGGTCAGCAGTACCTTCTGCTGCTGCTGCTGCTGCCTCTGCTCCTGCCACCAGCCTGGATCCCACACCTGCCAATGGTGAGCCAGGCGCAGAGTGGTGAGGGATGTGTGAGTAAGCGCAGAGCCGTGTCCAGCCACTGCACACAGCCAGGCATGCCGGCTGCTGTGGCAGGGTGGGCAGCTCCAGGTGCCAACACAGTTGCTGGCTCCCTGAGAGGATGTGGCTGGACCAGATGTATCACATGTGGCTTCCGCTGTGGGCACCTGTGTCTGCACAAGGAAAACGCGGTGGTGCCCGGAAGGTTGTAGACACCAGGAAGAGCCCCAAAGAGGGTGTCACAGCTCTGGCCTGGGCTCCCTGAAGGGCCACAGCTCTTCTCTCCTCATTGCCCGTGATGTGGAGAGTAGGGGGCATGTTTCAGCCCCGTTTGTGTTACAGCTCTTTCAGTCTCACCATTTGGCAGGTCTTGAGTTCTTGTCCCATGTGCAGGAAGATACATGGAAAACTTGAGGGTGAGCAAGGCAGAGAGGAGCTTCATGAAGTGACAGAACAGCTCTCGGGAGACCCGAAATGGGTAGCTCCTTCCCACAGCTAGTGGTCCCGACATCTGTGTGAGTCTGGCTGAGTCCTGGGTCTTTAGGGACTCAGAAGGGAGCAAGTGTGTGCTGATTGGTCCGTGGGCAACCAGGGGTGGGCCCAGAAAAATCACCACAAGTTCTCACTCTGAGGGGCAGACTCTACCCAGAACGGACAGCCTAGCCCCCAGGTTTCAGGCCAGCCCTGGCTTGGAGATGGGGCTTCACCAGGGACCCACCCCTTTCCACCCAGGAGCCTGTCTGCCTTCAGCCACCATCAACAGGTCATCCATGGCACCAGGCTGTTTGTGCCAAGGGGCACCTGCAGGCCTGCGATGAGCCACCCTCAGTCCCCACTTGACCTCCCTTTTGTGCTAGTCAGCACCCAAGGTCCGGAGGGGGCTGAGGTGGCAAGTGGCTGGCATGGTCAGTTCTGTCCCCAGGGTATGCACACCTGACTGGGTTGTGACAGGGCCCAGGCTCAGCCACAACTTTGCTCTGAAATTGGAGTGGGTGCCAGGAACAGGGAGAGGCCAGGGAGCAGGAGGAGACACTTCAAAGCCTGTGGGTATATGGGGGTTTTCCCAGGCCACCAACAGTACAGAGATGCCCCAGTCTGGAGCTGTGGCTGGGCAGCTGCAGCTGTGCCTGGGAGCATGGGGCTCTCGCCCCTTTAACTTGATAGGGGGTGGGGCTCCCACCTGTTCCCGGCCCCCCGCCAGCTCCACGAAGCCTGCAGCCCTGGCTGCACCTCACCCATGGTAGCTGGAGTCCCTCTGCTCCAGAGAGGCTACCAGCACCATCAGTATCGGCCACCTGCTATTGTGTCCCCCAAATTCGTATGTTACAGCCCTCACCTCCAGTGCACTGGTATTTGAAGGTGGGGCCTTTGGGAAGTGATTGGGTCCTGAGGGTGGTGCTGCCCTCAGGGGTGGGTTTAGTGCTTTGGAAGAATTGGAAGAGAGGGTAGACCTCACCAGCCTCCTGGGTGAGCCCCATGCCCTTCCCCATGGCCTCCAGCCGGCAGGGTGGCCTCGGCCACCCTTCTTCAGTGTCTCCCATCTCTCTGGTCCCAGCTGCTCTGATTTCCCTCCTTAATGACCACAGCCCTTCCTGCCACATGTCCCTTCCCTATGCTCTTCCCTGTCTCAAAGGTGCTTCTATCCTCCCACCCAGCCTTGTCCTCCAGGTAAAGGATGCTCCTGAGTTCTAGCAGCAACCTCCCAACTTCTTCTGCTTCTTCTGTTTCCACTTCTGTGCCACCAAATGTCCTCTCCAAAGCACACTGACTACTGAAGATTCAACCATTGGCTTTTCTGCATGGAGAGTAAAGCCCTTCACAATCAACTTGTCACCTGAGATGAGCCATGCTCCCAGTACTGACATCATTGGCAGTTCCCTTCTATGTCAAATCTGAGCTGGCCCTATGATGTGATGATGGTGTTAATCCATTTTTCATTGCTATAAAAGGGTGTCTGTGACTGGATATTTTATAAAGAAAAGAGGTTTGTTTGGCTCACAGTTCTGTGGACTGTACAAGCACAGTGCTAGCATCTGCTCAGCTTCTGGTGAGGCCTCAGGAGCTTAAAATCATGGCAGAAGGCAAAGGGGGAGCCGGTGTGTCACATGTGAGAGGGAGCAAGAGAGAGTAGGGGGAGATGGCAGAAAAGAGTGATGAAATCACTCATTACTGTGGGGAGGGCACCAAGCCATTCACAAATAATCCACCCTCATAATTCAAACACCTTCCCACCAGGCCCCACCTCCAATATTGGGGATCACATTTTAACATGAGATTTGGAGGGGACAAATATCCAATCCATATCACTGGTGGAAAAGAGAGGAAGCAACACTGCACCAGCTCTGAGATCAAGCCTTAAGAAAGCATGACACATCTACCCCTGGGAGCGGGCAGCTAGCAGGTAAGAAGTCCTGCTGGAGAGATCACATGGAGAGAGGGGAGGCACCTTTGTTACCTCAGAGCCCAGACTACCAGCTGTTCCTACCAAGGTCCCAGACATTAAGTGAAGCCATCTTGGGTGTTCCAGACCACATTGCCCACTGACTGTAGCCCCATGAGAGACCTCAACTGCAAAGACAGAAGAGCCACCCAGCTGACCCTAGTCAAACCGCAGTCTCATCAGCCACTGTTGCTTTACACCACTGAGTTTTAGGGGGGCTTGCTGCACAGCAACAGATAAGCAGAATGGGATGGAAGCCTGTCATACTGTGGACATCTCCTTCTTCTCCTCCCCTCCCCTGGCCTTGGGCCAGATAAGCCAAACCTCAGCCCAGGCTTCTTGTGAGCTAGTCATGTCCTATGTCTAGGCCTAGGCCATCCCAAGCTCCTGCTGCCCTCCAGCAGGAGCCTCTGCTTTTTGGGGGAGCTGTGCTGCTCCCTTACTCTTGTCCCTGCTTTCTCCCCAACTCCTTTCTGCAAGAGAGTGGTGACTTTCCTGGGGGTGAGGGTGGGATCAGGGGAACCAAGAATGCCCATCCCTGGCCCTGCTGGGTCTTTCTCCTGGATCCAGGTCCTAGGGCCGTGCACGCAACCCTCACCCCACACAACTGTGCAAAGCCTCATCCATACGTGAAAGCCCATATCATTTGCTAATTGATTCATTAATCCATTTATTCATTTGTTGATTCTGTGATCACCCAACAAACATTCCTGGAGCATTCTCTGCAGATGGCCTGTGCAGGGCTTGGATGTAACTCATCTCTGGGTCACCCACCCATCATGGAGCCTGGTACACAGCCAGCACTTGATGAATGCCAACTGTAGACTAAAGGAGGTGACCTTGGGTGTCAAACTTACCCCCTTTGAGACTCAGTTTCTTCATCTGTAAAATGAGGGTGCAGATAAACTCTGTTTCAAAAAGGACTGAGCCAAGGAACCCGCCTCATCAGACATCTGTGTGAGATTAGAGCAGCCAATGACTCATTTGCATAACAAGACTTGTGGGCAATTAAATGCTTCCCAGCTGCTGGGAGGCTGCAGAGGCCAGGTCTTCAGGGCTCCTTCATCTCTTCCCATTGTTTGTTTGTGTCTGGGCTGCTGGGAGCAGGAGAGACACGACTGTAATGGTGCCCTAAGTGCATTTGAGAGGAAGGAAATGATGTCTGGCTGCATGCCTTTATCTAAAGTTGACCGTCTTCTTTTCAGTTGCTTTCTCCAGAGCTCTAGGTAGCCCCAGGCTACACCCTCTCCTGCAGAAGCTCTCCCAGCAGGCACTGGGTCCCTTCTTTCCTGGGTGGGGAGGGGTATGGGGGCGGGAGCAGCCTTTGGCTCATTCTCTTTTGTCTTTAGAAGGGGGAGGGCACTGCCTGTGAACATCGTGAATGACCAAAAAACGTCAGGAAAGGAGACGAAACTAAACTGAAGGAGACTAAAGAGAAATGACAATGACACGTAATGCGTGGTCCTCAATTAAATCCTGATTTAAACAAACAGGTTAATTCTATCTAAAAGATATAATTTGGAACAATTGGGGAAATTAGAACATGGATGAATATTAGATCATTGCTGTCTTAGCTGAGGCTGCCATGACGGAAGAGCAGAGCTGAGACTTCAGCAGCAGACACCTAGTTCTCCGGGTCTGAGGCGGGACGTCTGAGATGAGGCCAGCTGCCAACCGGGCTCGATTCCAGCGAGAGCTGTCTTCCAGGCTTCCAAACTACCCAGTCCTCACTGATGGAAAGAGAGAGAGAGGTCTGGTCTCATTCTCTTCCTATAAGGGCACTAATCCCATCATGGGACCCACCCTCATGCCCTCGTCTAAGCCTAATCACCTTCAAAGATGCCCCCTCCTACTATCATCACACTGGGGGGCAGGACTTCAACATATGAATTCAACACATTCAATCCCTAACAATTACAGAGAATTGAGAAGAAAAGGAAATCTTAAGCCTCCCAACCATCTAAGCAGACCCCCTCTTGGCCAAGGGGACCCCAGAGAAAACTTGGGAGCTGAGTTCCCACCCACATTGTATGCCCCCCTCCCTCGTTAACTGCCACTGGGTTTCCTCCCTAAAGGCTGCAGAGAAACCAGCTCTTCCAAAAGACTCTGCCCTGCTTCCAACCAATGCTTGACCTGCCCCTACCCTCCCCCATACCCCTTACAGGTTTGACACAGCAACTCACCTGGGTTCCTTCCTGATAGGAGACCACAGACCACAGAGAACTTCTGGTCAGTCTTCAGGGGATGCATGGTGAGGGTTTTCGTGTCCTTCACTTCACCTTTTCACATCAGAGGGTAGAAAAGTCCACCCTCAGATTGTGCTGACACTGCCATGTCTTAAGCATGGGTGCCATGGAGAGGCAGGAAGCTCAAGTGCACACGCACACATTTCTCCTCTCATAAATATTCATGACTCCTCCTGTAGTTTACTGGATATGCATATTTGGCCACCCTACTCAGCATAAACCCTTGTCTAATTCTTCCCACTCTCGAAATGTCTGTTTCCTGCTTCTGACCAGAGGCTACGCTTCCCAGCCTGTCAGAATGGCTGCCCAGCTGGCTGCTACCATTTATGAGAAACAAAGCTCTCCTTTCCAAACTTAGAAGTCTAACCATTCTTCAGTTGACAGTATCAATGTTAAATTTTTCAGGTATGGGATTTTTCAGAAAACTAAAGTAGAAATTTTCAGGTTAGTGGAGTTAGGTAGGAGAGTGTCCTGTGCTTTAGCTGATACTTACAGGAAACTCACTTTCAAAATGTATGTGGGCAGGTAGAAAGCCATGTAGCAACACATTCACCATCCATGAATTGAGGAGAAGAGTAGATAGCATTTATTCTATAGGTTTGAAATTTTTCAAAAGAACAAGTCAGATAAAAAGAAGTAGGACTCTACCTGGAGTTAGATTATGAGTTGGTTAATTCTCCCATCACCCCCAGGGCCTATGTGTAACAGAGCCCCTCACCTACTTTTCTCCCCAATCAGAGTATCTGGGGCTGTCCAAGGGTACAGGACCCTGTGGAGAGTGGGGCTCAGGCAGAGAAAGTGGGAAAGAGACACTGGAGGACCTGAGCTGGAGGCCAACATGGATTAAGTTGGGTTGGCCTGGCTCAAGGACAGACAGAAGTGGGCCCCTGTGACTCTCTCTCCTGCAGGCCAACCTACAGCTGACCCCAGCCCAGGCCAGCAGATTCCTGCAGACTCAGGGGCTGAATGAAGGCGTATTTACGCTTCTGAGGTTCAGGGCTGCTTGTTAGACAGCATTATGATGCCTGTAGGTAACTGGTACACAGTCCCCTCTGCTACCCAGGTCATGAACACTGTCACAGAGCTCCACCTGCCCACCCAGGAAAGGAACTTGGTGGGGGAGGTCTGGTGCCCTGCCCAGCCCCTCAGCCCCTGCCTCCTTCACACAGCTCCTCACTTGCCACACCTCCTGCTAATGTTTACTGAGCACCTGCTCTGTGCCACACCTGCCTGGTGCCAGCACTGTTCTCTACACAACCTCACTCCATGCCTATTGGTCTTGGGAGGGTGGGCTTATCATCTCCTGAGTGACACAGCAGATGGACAGAGGTGTGGGGCATCTGTTTCTCTGTAGGAATGCCATTCTTTCTCCCAACAGCAATGATGAGCAGGGGTGGACGAGGCCTCATAAGCCCTCTTGCCTCTCAGCCTCAAAGGGCACTGGGGACTAGCACAACACTGAAGGGTGGTTCACATCACAGTGCAGGCTCCCCTGTAGGGAACTGTCCAGGGTGTCTGCACCTTCCGCATGCCTAGCCATGCACACATCTCTCTTCTTAGATATCTGAGCATTTGGAAAGATTAGAAATCACAAACTAAAATAGCTAGAGCAGGTATTTCTAGGGGGTGGGGTTACAGGTGATTTTTATTTGCTTTCTCATATTTACGTGTGTTTCCAGTATTCTCTGCAATGAACATCGTACTTTCTAAATCAGAAACAAAACGACGGTTTTATAGAGAGCAGGGAGGGAGATTTTGCATGGCGCTCCAGCCTGGGGTCGGGGGGCAGTCTGGGGAAGACAGCACCCAAGACATTCTGTCCTTGAGTCAGGCTTCTGGCCATGGCAACCCAAGTTTAGGGAGAAGAGGAGCTCTGGGGAAGAAGCCTGAGGGTCGAGGCTTCAGTCCTGGCTCTCACCTGCCCAGACTGGGAGCTGGGGCAGGGACCATGGGTCCTCAGCCTCAGATCCCCCTCTGTAAAATGAGGGGTTCATCCCACCCTGCACAGACTGCCAGAGGGTCCTGATCACCCACAGAGGTGCCAGGGGGTCCTGACCACCCATGGAAGTGTGGCCCCCCACACCTCACTTCAGGAGCAGCAGAAGCCAGCACCAGTCACTGTGGGCTTTCTGTCCAAGCACTGCCGCTAGCATGCAGGAGGGAAGCTAGTCTCACCCGTCCACCTGCCTGGCTTCGGCTACACAGACAGCCCAGCACTTATTGCTAAGAGACAGCAGGGCAACGCTTCCCAGGGTTGTGCTGTGGTGTTGGAGCCGAGTTAATGAGATAAATAAAATAAACACCAAAATAGAAATGTGTGCACAGCCGGGAACCAGAGAGAAGTGGGTTCTCTCGGTGCTGAGCGCCGGCTGCAGAATCTGGCAGGCTGCGAGGCTCCCATGCGTCTGCAGGCTTGCATTTGAATCATGCATGATTGTAGTGGGCTGGGCTGCTCCCTGGGCAGGCGTTGGGTAGGGAGAGAGACCAAATACCCCGTGTTTTATTCTCTTCTTCCACAATGTGGTTACTTGCTCCCTCTGCCAGACAGGAAGGGACCTTGGTGAGTATTTGGCCTCACCTCTTATGACAGATGGGGAAACTGAGGCCCAGGGAGCTGGTGGGACTTCTCCCTGAACAGTGGACAGAGTCAAGTGAAGAGCTGGTGCTGGAGTCAGGTGAAGATCATTTTAATCCTGATCCAGCCACTTCTCAGCGGTGTGATCTTGACCTAGCCCAGAGGGTAAATCACACAACGGCTCTGAAGCCTGGGTTTGAAGTTAGAATCAATGAAAGGCCACCAATGCCCAATGCCCAGCCCTGGGGGTGCAAGATGGGTGCACACAATTCTTTACCACCTTTTCCAGGTCACGGAGCCTCAGGGCCCTGACCCTCTCCACTGGCAGGCCCTCCTGCTTGGCTCCTCACCCATCTTCCTCCTTCAGGAGTCTTTAGTGGTGTCTGAAAAGGACATTTTCCAAACAGACTCCTGCACTCTCAAAGCAGTGCATGGCCAAAAGTGAGTGCCCATTCGCTGAGTGCCCTCCCGTTCGAGGGGTGCTCAGACCTTGATGCCCGCGCCCCTTCCCGCCTTCACTCCTGTCCACTGGCCTCCCAGGAGTTCCCCCACAGACCAGGAGTGTGCTGCTTTCCCAAGACCTTTGCACCTGCACCTCTGCTGCCCCCAACAGCCCCATGATGCCCTTGCTCTCGCCCCTCAGTTGTTGCCCTGGCAGGGCCACCTCCTGCTGTGCCAGCACCCACACTTCCCCAGCCCAACTCCTGCCCAGGAACCCACACTGCCCACTGTGTCCCCGCTCTCGGGGTGTCCTCTGTCCCGTGGGGCAGGCTGCCTCTCCCGTTTTGTTCACTGCTATCTCTCAAGTATCTAGAACAACATCAACGCATTGTAAGTGCTTGATGAACAGTCTCCCTTTTGGAAAAAATATTGACACAGACGAAGGCAAATGTAAGGAGTGGAGTGTGGTGTGTGAGCTGAGCCCAGGCAGGTGCCCTGCATCTGTAAACGCCAAGAGGGACTCGGAAGTGGAGGGTCATCAGTCACAGGGACCCGAAAACGCCCATGTTCTAGTAAAATTAAAACAACATGGGACAGACTTTTAGAATCAAAGGACAATGAGTATCACCCCAGGCACTTATTGCAGGAGTGAGGCAGCTGGGTGCCTGGGTTCAAAGCCACGTCCTGTCTGCAGGAACCAGGCAAGATTTTTGGAGTGTTAGTGCCTCTGCTTCCTCATCTGAGACAGGCATGATAATCCTCTCCTTTTCAGGGCTGCTGTAGGGGCAGAGCCAGGTCTATCTGTATATATGAAGGGCCCAGGCCACCATCATTGCTCACCCTTGAGATTGGGAGTCCCCGAAGGCTGGGAGCCCATCTGAATCCTCTGCACACGACTCTGGGGAAACTGGGCTGGACCCCTCGCCTTCCCTAAAGCAGCACAGCCTCAGCCAGAGTTCATGGTGAGAATGTCCCTTCCAAAGCCAGCTCCCAGTTCTCCCCACCGACACGCCTCAGCTCCTACTCCCCACTGCTTGAATCCTGGGGCTCAAGGGAAGAGAGGTAGGAAGTCCGGGGCCACCAGGCCTGCCCCATCACAGCTACTGCTCTGCAAGGACTTCCAGGAGAGCAGCAGCCCCGCAGTAGGTCAGTCCTCCTGGATCCTTCTCCTCTGGGAGGTGCAGCAGAGGTAGAAGGGCAGCAGCTGGGGTCCCCTTCCTGAGAGGCCCACGGCTCTCCCAGGCAGGCTCCTTCTGGGCGTCTTCCTTTGACCCTCTCTAGCTGAGAGGCAGTTGGTCACCAAGCAGGTGCAGGGCCAGGAGAGGCCACTGGGCAGGGCTATGACCGGAGGGTAACGTCTATCCAAGTCATTCTGCCAAGTTGGGTCAAGGATTTTCTCAAATGGAGGAGAGACGAAGGGGCAGTGCACACTCCTCTGCTGCTCCCAGACCCCCTCACAGACTGGATGGCTACGTGCCTGTGGGGGTGCCTTCCTGGGCGAGTATAAAAATAGACTGGAGCAGGAGCTTCAGGGGTGCAGGGTGCAGAGCTGTAGGCATGCAGGTCCATCCACAGGGTGCAGAGCTGTAGACATGCAGGGGCGAGGCAGAGCTGTAGGCATGCAGGTCCATCCACAGGGTGCAGAGCTGTAGACATGCAGGGCACAGAGTGCAGAGCTGTAGGCATGCAGGGCACAGAGGCAGAGTATAGGCATGCAGGTCCATCCACAGGGTGCACAGCTGTGAGACATGCAGGCACAGAGTGCAGAGCTGTAGGCATGCAGGGCACAGAGTGCAGAGCTGTAGGCATGCAGGGCAATAGAGGCAGAGCTGTAGGCATGCAGGGCACAGAGTGCAGAGCTATAGGCATGCAGTGGTCCATCCACAGGGTGGCAAGAGCTGTAGACATGCAGGGCACAGAGTGCAGAGCTGTAGGCATGCAGGGCACAGAGTGCAGAGCTGCAGGCATGCAGGTCCATCCACAGGGTGCAGAGTCAGTAGGCATGCAGGCACAGAGT